CATCCACATTCTCATCAGCAGAAACCTGGCTATCTGCAGGATGTTGATAAAAGCCTCTTTAGTTGGTCTTACTGGATAGGTAAGCTCATATGGGAGGAAGCAGTCCTTTAGGTATCCTCTTCCTAGGGCTATTAATCGTGCTGGGAACAGGATATCAATACAACTGATTATAAGGAGTCATATAGTCCTATAAATTGGCTCTGGTTAACCCTCTAGCTGTCTTAGTCGGTCTTGGAAATCCAGAGTGTTCAATGATCTATTTTAAATCAATTGCAGAAAAACTGAGTTTCTACATAATGCTTCAAAAACATGCTTGTCCAGCTGCAGTGTAATTATATTGAAAATCTAAGATGATAATAGCCCTGCTTAGGTGTAATTAAATTACAAATATGTAAGAAGGAGAAACGTACTAGTGGCTTCCCTACCCTTGCACATTTCCCCCACCCTGTACTAAGGATGGGTGATAGTCTAAATAGGAGACTCTTGGTTCTTCATTGCATGGAGCGCCTCCAAACATAAGGAGCACATCCTTGGACACAAATCTGAACATTTGGGCTTTATATCTTTCGTTTAGCTTCTTAAATATGGGGTTGGTGCAGTTGTAGCCACAGCGTTAAGAGCTACGACTGGAAACCAACCTGATCTAGGTATATGAAAAGCTCATTTCAATTATTACAGAACAGCCAAAGTGATCTGAGATGAGAATTTGGTAATTCAGACCTGGCACTGCAGCAACCAGAATCTGACATCCTCTCCAATTAAGAAAACAGCGATATTCTTCACAGAGAAATGGTGGTGTTACTAGAGTGCAGGAGGCATGAAATCGCCTCCCCACCTTCAACAATGAACTACAAAGTGAGACAGAAGATGGATTCTCTATTGTTTACAGCAGTGAGAAATGTAACACAAGACACGGCGAACATTTGCAGTTTAATTAACAACACTGCTGACACGTCAGCAGATACATATGTGCAAGGAAATTACAGCTATGACAAAGAGAAGGCACTGAACTAACGGCTGCAGATGGCTAACCACCAAAAACCTTTGCAGAAAAGATACTCACCGTGCTGTGAGATTAGTGCGCTTTGGCCCCCTCTGTTTAGAAACTATTGTCATTTGCTGCTTTCAAGAGAATCAGACATAACAAGATGGGCGGAAGGTAGATCAGAATCTACCAGTAGATCTCTGGTTAGTTCGTTGTTGTTGTTGTTGTATTGTTGTTGTTGTTGTTGTTGTTGTTGTTGTTGTTATTATTATTATTATTATTATTATTATTATTATTATAACATTTCTATGCCGCCCCTTGCCGAAGCCACGGGGCAGCTTACAACACAAAGGGCAAAGGTTTATAACTTTATAACAAAGGTTTATAAAGGTAATAAGGGCAAAGGTTTATAACTTTCAGCTGCAGGACAGGCCCAAAACATTTGCTGCTTGAGTCAAATTCCATTTCCAAAGCTGACTGGACTAGCAATTGAAACTTATTTCAACACTGCTGGTAGAAAAGAATTCTCCACCATATCTGAGGACAGCAGAATAATTCTGAAGAAGCAGGAGAGGCCACATAGCACATACAGCTCTGTTGTCCAACTCTTCATTGCCAAGCATCTGAGGTCACCACTGTGCACTATTTAATGATAAGGCCAGTACTATGGTACATTTTCACAAATTCTGCCTCCTCTTCAACTACAGATGAGCTGGAATCCTGTACATAATTATGCATTCTTTCCTACTAAAATTATTTCTGTTTATTTATTTGTCATATTTGTGAATCCTCACTACAACCAGTAGGTGCTCAAGGCAATGTTATAACATAGGCAAGACGGTACTAATAAAACACTAATACATTAAAAATCAACTAGGAATACAAACGGGCTTTTTATTATTATTTTTAGAAGAAACCAAAAACTCAGATGAAAGCTTGGCAGAACAATAGTTTTCACTGCTTATCTGAAGGAGGTCAAAGAGGATAGTGATAAAGGAATCTGAAGGAAGGGGGCACTGATACTGAAATGGTCTTGTTTTGTGACAAGATCTTTTTTCCCCCCTAAGCAATGGGATATATAACAGTTCTCTGATGATGAGTGTACATTATGAGTAGATTCACCAAGGGCAGTTGGTCCAAAGCTACCTGAAACCTTATAGGTATGTACCAGCACTTTGGGCACAGAAACTGGAAGTGAGTGAAGTAGGGATCATTATTTTATGATCTGCTATATGCACGCAAAGCAACAGATTAACCACCACGTTTAGTACTGACCATAGTTTATGAAAACTTTCAGAGATAAAGCAGTGCAACATGTTATAGTAATCTAGATGAGAGCCAATTAAGGCATGGATCCCTGTGGTCAGTTGTGTCTTCTTCAGAAAGGAAAACATTTGGTACACCAACCAAAACTTTTTATTCGCAAAGTGTCTTCCAAAAATATCACAGTAGGTTTCAGAAGGCTCTTCTTCACTACCCCGGAGTCTAGAATGCAACATAACCACTTAAGTACCAAAACAGTTATCCTAGAGGACACTACTCTTATCAGTGGAAGGCATCTTTGCTGCACTTACTGCTATGGAATGAACCCTAACATGCCCTTGAACAGATTTAGCTCATTGCTGCTCTAGTCATTTGTCCAGGTTCTTAAGTTTCTCAGAAAGTCAGAGGACCTGTGCTCTGTACTCAAGCCAAGGATGCTTAATGAAAGAGCATATCTACCATCCAGGTCCTCTCCACAGGTCATTCAGGGCTTAATCAGTTCTAGTGGCCAGAAAATCCTCTAAAGGATTCATGGAACCATTTGAGATCTATCAATTTCCAAGAGCAAACCACTTTAGTAGACTAAATGTTCAGAGTTCCAGAAAAACTAAAGTTATTAGGTAGTCATCCTTCCATTACACTGGGTTCCTTTCTCTCCTGACAGCCACACTCAAGGAAGTGGAAATTGCCAATATGATACTAGTTATTCCCTTGGTATTAAATCCTTGGTGTTCCCTCACCAGTGTTATGAATAGGACAGGGGGTGACTTGCCACAGATAAGCCATTTTGATAGGTATCTATCTATCTATACTTTCAAGGGGATGTTCTCAGGTTTGCAGGGTGTTGCTTGTTCCATGCCGTGTAGTTGGGATTCTTGACCAAAATACACCAAGCAATGCTGCCATACTAAATGGTAGAGACAATGTCACAGCAAATAAGCTAAGTTCCTCATATAGACTGCAATACTTATTCAAACATCACTTATTCAGTACTGCCCAAATAGGGTTTGGATTTGAGATCTGTGCTTATGAAGGGTTTCATTAAGACACAGAAAAAGCAATGGGACTTGTTTCTGAAAGTTGCTAGGCCTTTCCTATGCCTGGATGGGTTGGGATAGGAACATGGCCTGGAAGTGAGCAGCTGTAAAAGTAAATTCAGGAACACCAGGGAAGAAGAAAAAAGTGAGGATTAATGTCCAGGACAGCTCACAGGATTGGTGAAAATAAGACAATTTAGAGGACAGCCAAGTGTTTGTCAAGAGAAGAAAACACACACCACCACACAGAGTCCACAGAGGTTGAAAGATAAGTGTCTTTCAAAGACAAGAGCTATGCAATAGGAATACTCTTCAGAAAACACAGGGTATGCATTAGTTTTATTGCTGCCTCACTTCAGAAATAAGAGAAATACTGAAGTCATATCTGTTGAAACTGGTATTTCAATTTTACATGCTGTTTTGGAGAATCACGTTTCCAGCTTCCTTAGCAATATATTATTAGCGTTTTTGCCCATTGCAAATAAATCAGCCCATTTATGTAAGGGCTTCTCATAAACATTAGGATCTAAAATAAGTACAGCATTGCGACTGTTTACATGTTAATATCTAAGGAGTCAGTGCTTTACTGATGAGTATCACGGTGCAACTGTTTTTTTCCCCCAGCTACCACATTAAAAACCAAATACCCAATTAATTGTAAAACATACTTGTTTTGGGGCATCTGCGGAGGTGGTGTGAACTTCAGTACCTCGGAGTCCATTAGACTCAAATACCACTGTGGGAACAAGGGGGCTTGTTAACAGATGAACATTCAAGCTTCGTTAGTGTGTCTACATTATTTGACTCCATTACAAATTAACCACATTTGGGGGAGGGTGGGGGAAAGCAAAGACACCAGCTCCTCTCCCGTAGCCGGAAAATACCAATTTACCGTAACACTTACTGTAAGAGAGTGTGCTAATGGCAGCCTAAGGCCACTGCCCTTTTTAATTCAGACTTCAGTGCTGAAGAAAGCAATCACTGACAACATTAATTATCAGTGTATGTGTAAAGGGACCCTCTTCTTGAATTACTTACCATTTGGCCTCTGTCATTTTACATCAGACTGGCTTATGTATGCATCATTCACACTTCTCCAAAAAGGGGGGTGGGGGGAGAAAGAGAAAAGAAATCCTCTAGTCTCATTGTCTCATATAATGCTATTGAGGTGTCTTGGCACACTAGTAGCTTTAGATCCACAGTAAATTACGTTCTAGCTTTAAGAGGGCTGAGATTGAGAGTTTATCACTTCCCAGGCTAAGTAGGATTTAGATTTTAAAGGGAACCCTTCACCCCATCCCACAAAACCCCAGATTTCTTTTGGTGCTTAGCAATGAGAAAGAGAAACAAAGCTTTACGTTTCGTTCAAAAAGGTTCTTTGATTTCAATTTGCGCTGGTGGCAACAGAATTCATTAGCATATTCATTCCAGAGTATTCTAATTAAAATGGTGGGTTTCTTTAAAGGTGGGGTGGGGGAGAAGAAACTACAAACAGGCTGATTTCAGTTGCAATGCAATGCTATGCGAGGAAGAAGGGGGTGACATCGGGTACATGAAGTGGAACAAGAATAATGCTAATCCAAAGTGAAATGCTGCAAAATGGGAAAACTTTCGAAAAACATTTGTGTTAGCAATGTACGTAGATGAGCAATAAGGTCAATCACGGTTAGCAAGGGCCTCTCCCACCCTCTTTAAGGACTGATAGGAAAGGGTACCTGTGTGAGATCTGAGATGGGTCCGGAGGTGGCTGGGCTGGGTAAAGCCCTTCCCACATTCCATGCAGAGATAGTCTCCTTGGCGCGTTTGTGTCCTAAGCATCCCTGTGGTGGAGAGAGAGGAGGGAGGAGGGAGGAGAGAGGAGTAGGGAAAGTTGAGAAGAAAACATTATGCCAGAGGAAAACATCATTAGTATGTCTAATGTGTCATTATGTGAGGCTACCTTCAGGCCCTGGATGACAACTGTCAGCCTTCATCTAGGCTCTGGCTGACAGGCCAGGCACACACAGGACTGCAAGAATGCATAAATTACATTGAATTAAAAAATGCTCCCCATGATGTGCCCGCACCAGGACTGGCATGTCAGGTGTGTGCTTTTCATAGCAGCTGGATCCACTTTTCAGCCATCACCCAGCTTTGTCAAGCAGTACATCAGGCAAATCAAAGTGACTCCAGCGTGGCGGAGACAAGTCACATGGATAATAGGAAGTGAGTAGAACCAGAGCCCGACTGTCCCCCCCGGGCTGCAATACCTTGGAGACAAATGCGGAGTGAGCGGAGCCATCACAAACCGATCAAACCTTTAGCCCTGCCTTACCTGCCTGCCGGTGCAGCTTTGACCCCAGACCTCTGAGGCACAGACGGAAGACATCTGTGAATCAAAGTGTCATTACGGACATTTTGAGATAGTAGCAACACAGCAGTCTTCTGCCAGCCCTCAATAAACATGTTTTCTAGGCCATTAGCATTTGAGGAAAACGACTCAAACCTCTTCTTTTTTTCCAAAGGTCAGTTTACAGTATCTGACTTAAAGGGCTGGTCGTTGTCTTTTTACTGCTGATCAGAAAGGACACATTTGACTTTTATTGGGTTACTTATTTTCGCAAAATATTTGCGTATCTTCTTTGCTATTTTGGTAAGACAGTCTCCTCAAAAGGGGTGGAAAAAAGGTTTTTATTTGCTATTAGCATGTCCTGCTGCTAAAATGAAATCATTGAAGTACTGTCAGTGATGCTTCAAGATTTTGAACCTACCAAAATACTTGGGGTAGTGGGAAAGCAAAGTAAAATAATGGAATTTATTCCAATTTTAATTTTCTTCTGGAACAGAAAGTTATAATGCCAAAATAAGAATTGTCTGGCTTTGCAAAATGTACAACTTTTGATGTCCAGTAGAAAAACAGTCCTAAATTATTAAATATAAACACACAAACATTCATATACAATCAGATATAACACTAAACAAGAAGTAGGAAACAAGAGGTAGGCGTGTGTGAATTTTCTTCAAATGTTTCTAGATTGCTTTTCCACCAGTTTGGATGCCCAAAATGATAATCTGTTTAGATGACATCTGAAACTATCCCAACCAAGTAACAGTGATGTGTGTGCAGCCATGGTTTCAAGTTGCCTTGTGAACTTTGGCTTTTATTCACTATGGTTTGTCACTAAGTCTGAGCCAGCTATCCCAGTCTAACCCTAATTTCTTATAGCACTTCACCTCAGTCATATGCCAGGCTACAGAGACACAAAGCAAGACGATGTTGCAAATGCAACTGCTCCTGTGGCCAAGTGACTGTCCCTACAGCCTTGCCAGATGTTGCCATTCCTCCTTTGCTCGGCTTTGCAGCAGGCTCCTTTCTCTGATCCTCTCCTCACTGACAAGCCTTCCTGCTTCAGCCTACCCACCTTGCTCCACAGGAGCCTGGCAAGGAGAAAAATATATGAGGGGACACTTTACTAACAGCCAGAAATACAAAGCTAGGCCCATAGCTCCGTTCATTTTTCTATCTCAGATAGGGATGGGGGCATGGCAGGGTTTTATTTTCAGATGATGATGGAAAAAAGGCTGTTCTACTGGCTAGGGCTCTAATTTGCAGACTCCAAGCACTACGAAAACATATGATAAAAGTAACCAGTACCATTTTAGTGTGAACAAAATTCAGAGCCCAGGATTGGCTCCCATTGACTTTTCAGAGTCTCTGATGAAGTTCTTGAGACCAAATTAAAAAAGCCATTAATCTGGGTGAGTCACGTGTGGGCAACATGGATTTCACTCCAGACACTGGGACCACTGGACAGAAAAGACAGATTTAACCTTGTCTCCTGCTATATCCTTAAGTATTCCCTTTGTTCTCTCTCACAGATGTGACATTACTCATCCTCCACCAGTCCTGGAGTCAGGGAGCAATACTCCCTACTCCACCTACTGAAATTAGCGCATAAGGATTAAGGCAAACTGGTTCCTAAACTTCCACCCGCCTAATAATTCAAAAGTTGATGCTTAAAAGTCACCTTAACCATGGAAAAATGAGTAAAGAAGGCACCATTCTTTCACCAACCCAACTTCGTTCTTTCATTCATATGACATCTACTCTATCTATGACATCTCTGGGTGGCACACTGTTAAAATAACACATTCTAAAAACACAATGTTAAAATTCAACAATAAAAATTTAAACAATTAAACCCCAATTAATCTAATACAAATATAAAATTCCAAAAAATTAATAAACCCAGCAGGCCATAGTGGCATCCATGGGAAGAATCAGGTATTAAAATATCTTTTTAAAAGGTAAGTCTTCACCTGGCACTGAAAGGAATACAGAGATGGTGTCAGGCCAATATCCTTAGGGAGAGCATTCCAAATATGGGGAGCAGCAGTAGAAAAGGCCCTGTTCCTGTCAGCCCCTCCTATTATTTTCCTGAGAGATGGATCCTGCAAATGGCCTTCTTGCATCAATCTCAAAGGCTGGGTAGGTATATATGGGTGCAAACAGTCCTCCAGATACCAGGGCCAAGGCCATTCAGGGCTTTTTATGTCAAAACAGGGCCACATTTCTTGTGAAATAGAAATACTGCTAACTTGGTTACTGTATTTTACTTATTTTCTAGACTATACAGAGTATATCTTCTGAATGTGATCCAGAAATATGTTTGGGTTTTTCTAACAACGTATATCTGGGAAAGCAAATTCTTGCAATCATGGTAGATAACATTGATTCCACAGGAATAATTCACAGACACCCCTCTAAGGGAATAGTTTTCAACTATGCTTTGGGAAATCCTACAGTTCCTCGAAAGCTTGTCAGTGTTCCTCAATAGCAGTATTAATAATGGCAGATGGCTTTCCAGAGCATGCGGTCTATGGGTGATGACATGGTGCAATAGCATTGCTAGACTTATAGCAATGAACTGAAATTGGGCAGCATTTTAAGGCACAGTGTTTTGTTGTATCGGCCATGGGTCCCACAGTGGCGATGTCGATACAGGGGAAGGGTTCAAAGACCAAGTTCTTGAAACCACTGCTGCATGGGAAACTTACAAATGCCTGAGATAAGGCATATAGAGTGTTCAGACCCCCCCTTAAGTATGTTATAAATCTGTTAATGTCAATATCTTGCCATGAAGCAGAGGTGTAGAGTAGAAAACAGCAACTGAATTGGTCTTATCCCATACTGAAGTGCATTGGTTAAACTTTCCAGCAAAAAGAACATTTCCATCAATGTCATGGGGGAATGAGGGCTGTTCCTTCTCCACCATGTAGCCAGATGGATTTGGGCTGACTATGGAAAATATATTTTGAAGATGTGGGGAGCAGCATGAACTGGAGAGGAAGACCAGGAGGGAAAAGTCCTGTTTCGTCAGTGGAAGTCCATCTGCAAAACACTGGATTTTGCCTATGGGGAATAAACGCTATAGCATGGGTCCTCAAACTGTGGACTGTGGGCCAAATCCAGCCTGCCATGCCCATTTATCTGGCCCATCTCAGAGGTTTTGACTCGCTGTGCACATGCAGTGAGGAAGCGAAGGGGTGGCTTGCTCGTGTGGAGATGGTTTTGGACTTGCTCGGAGAAAACGATATGCCTCACCGCACGCACCCCCCACCCCCTCCCCGGCTTGCATCCCCTTGCCGGCACGGCCTTGGCAGGCCATGCTCACCTCCGGCACCTTTCAACTGGCCCCCTGTTGAAAAAGTTGGAGGACCCCTGCACTATAGAGTTTTACAAAAATCTGACATTCAGCTACACCATGCATTCATACAATGTTTTGTGTCATATTTCACTCCAGCGAGAAGAGTCAAACCTGTGTTTGACTCACACAACAGAACTGCAGAAATATTTTTGCGCAACTATGCACAGAAAGGAATTAGCTCACTGGCGGTGGGTTGGATTAGTCCAAGATGGATAGTATGCTTGAACTGTATGCTCTAGGAATACGCTTTGCTATGTCTTGAAGGTAAACAGCATTCACATTTGGCACTCTCAGGTCTGTTTTTGCAAATAGTTTTATGCAGAATCCAGTACCATCTTTGCAGAGTTCTCTCTCAGGATAAACAATATTATATTAAGAGAGTATAGGTGTATATAAATATTAGTCACTTTTATTTACATAAATTTCAATTTCTCCTCCTACAAAGAAATTCCTATGAAACTAGAAGGGGTAATTACCATGCTACTAGTGTCATATTTAATACAATAGCTGTAAATAACACCAATATTCAAACAGAAAAATAACCTCTACAGATTTGAGGTGTGTTTTGTTGCTGCTGTTGTTGTTTAAGAAATTCTTAAGCGAGCATCAAGCTACTCAATGCCTGACATAATACAAATGCTAATATTGTGCTGATATTCTGGCAGTACTTGTAACTATTTCTCCGAGGGATTGGAAAATCACTGTGTTACTAGAAGGAAACAAAACTGTGCACTTGTCTCCTGAGAACACAGGGCCAATTTAAAATGTAAAAGTCAAAGCTCCAAACCTGCCCCAATTCCACTGCATACTAAAGCATTCATAAGGGAATGTTCTACTGGGACCAATAAAGATCTACTGTAACAGAGAAGTGTAGTGAATATTCAGAATTAGAAGATGAATAATGTTCCTGTGTGCCTGAAAGAGAGGGTGGAGGAAGAGTGATTGTGAATGACCTAAAACAAAAACAAAACAAGGTGATCTAGCTAAGAAACTTCAACTCTGACAAACGCACATTACAGGATTTCTAAATTCCTACTAATCTGAATCTTCAGGTTGGATACAAATATATTCTCGGAACTGATCTGCTACTCTGAACCCTTCACATAGCAAAGCAATTGTTTTACTGTACAAGCAAGTATACTGCATGCTAGTTATTTGCACCAGATTCAGAAAAGAAAATGAAAACTAAATTAACGTAGAAGATTTCTTACGTTTAATTCTTAGGATTTGTTAGGACTGATAAAAGCTGTGTTGGGAATGCCATGCCCAGGGGTTTGACAATGCAGTACAAACTGTGATGCCTATCCAGCACTGACTATTCGGACTATTTTGTTCTAACTATTAGACACTTGTGAGACTAGTGCGTACAGTTTTGAAAGCCGATTCAGCCTCTAGACTTTCCCCCACTGTATTTCCCTACTGAATTCGTCATTTTCATGGTTCCTTGAACAGCATGAACAGTCTGGTGTCAGAAGCCAAATGCTGAGGGTCTCTGACTTTGGCTAATATTTGCAAATGGGCACTCATCGTACACATCCCAATTATGGGAAATTGCAGTATAGCTTGTTGTTCAATTTGCTGTGCATGGACTGAGAAGCAGGGCTGCACTAACTTTTATCAGTACATAATTACAGTGATCAAAGAGCTGCTTGTTACTGGAGCTCTACCTCTCCAGCAGACCTTTCTACCAATGTGCACCCCACTAAACAGAACTGAGAGGAAGAATTTGGGAAAAGCTACCCAAATCAAGGAGGCATTTCATGTTGCCTACACTGAAGAAAAGCCGGTCTGTGGGCTCATCTCTATGGCAGAAGCTTCCATGGTTATTTTGTAACACAGGAAAACACCATTCAGCAGTAGTCCTAGTGTTATGAGTAGGGCCCCTTAACTAGAGACTTAAAAGAAACAGGCTTGCTAAGCAGATGTGAACTTTAGCCACCACTCCTTAGAACCCTTTCCAGATATCTGCTAATGGGACGGCTAAACTGAGGTTCTTGAACTCTTTCACAAGTGTCAAAATAAAATGCTTACGACCTATCTTATCCACTACTGCCCCTGGTCTTTCACTATTGAAATCTATTTATTTTAAGCTCATAATGAAAGAAAAGAAGACTTTCTTCTTTCTATTGTTTGAAGGACACATCTTAATCTCTTTCTGCTTGGCCGATGTCTCATATTTCTTATTTTATAAATGAAGTCTAGTTAACATCTAGTTAAAAATTTCTTATTTTAGCCAGTAAAGAAGAACAGCTATACTTATCATGCTAAAAGAATAAGTAGTGAGAATGCTTAGAATATTTTTTAAAAAGATGTTTACAGTGATTATCATAAGGAAGTGGGTTTTAGTTATTTGAGCCAAGTAAAATACCATAGGAAAGACAAATTCTTGGGGTTAACTACCTGCCATTCCATTACCTATGGATCAGGTACTCTCTGAGATCAGTGTGAGTTTGTTTGTTTGTTTGTTTGTTTAAGACATGTCTATCCTATCTATATCCAAGATGGCTTGCAAAACCAAAACTCTAACAGCACATTGGATAACAATTTTCAATATATAAAAATATGCAGTAAAACTATTCTGTATAATAAAAATCATAAAATCATTAACATGCTGGGTAAATAAAAGGTTTACCCTGGCACTGAAATGAATATACTACCACAACCAGGTGCACCTGTCTGGAGAGCAGATTTCAGAGCTGGGGTGCTACCTTCCTCTTCACCTGGTTCACATGATCAGGCTTAAATAAGCCATGGTGGCTTGTCTTTCATGCAAATTGGCTCCATGTTGAGCATTATCATGGGATATGATACTCACCTAAGCTAAAAGCAGGATTCAGATCCCCTACTCCCAACCTGTGTATTGCTCTACCTTTTCTTCTGTTACATCATTACTTGTCATCACTGTACTTTGAATGTGAAAGGCCAAGGTGCCTCAGATGGTTGAGGAGACCACGGTACTTAACCATCACTAATAATTCCATTGATTTCCATACAGCAGATATAGTTTATAACCTAAATGTACAAAACTAAAGCACAATACTGGTGTTTTAGTTTAGTAACGGTAGAAATACAGCATACAGCAAAAATTATTGCAGTGCTACATTTCAGATGTACGACAGCAAGGAGCAAATACCTCCTTCCCCAAATGTTGAAATATCCAAAACCCAGTCTCAAACCCCTTACTGGCAATAGGCATGATTGTACTGACTCAGCCAGTAAAACTACATTCTAGCAGGTAACCAGTCTTCAGAATTGGACTCTGAAGAACCAATATGTCTTAAAGCCAGACTGACAAAGACTTGTGTGCTGCTACCTGTCCCTGCTGCAGAACCACAGATGACCACTGCTCTGCCATCAGTCTGTCCTAGTTGTTTTGCAAAAACCCCTACAATACAATGCACAGATCTCTTACACAAGATCCCTTCGCCAACCAGTTTTTCCCCCCTAAAATAACCATCCCTCACACACATTACAATTTTCTTTTCTTTTGATTGGGAACTAAGAACACTGATACTGCTGTCTTACCCTTAGTAGTCTATATTTAGATTAAACTTCTGCATGACATTTCAAGCATCACATTCTCTAAAATATATGTTTATTTATACACAAAGTAAGAGCAGAATACAAACTTGTTCCACAAAACATGGAAAGTATAGTTCTACAATTCTGTATATATCTACTCAGAAATAAGCTCAATGGGGCTTGCTCCCAGGTGTGTGGGTAAAGGATGGCAGCTTAGCTGACTCTATGCAGACAGTAAGGGACATAATCTAGTCATACAAACACACCATATTTTTTCAATAGCCTCTAATGCCAGCAATAGCTACTAATTATAAAATACACTGGAAAAGCCATTCTTAGGATTCTTACCAGCATGTTCCACTACAGGGCCATTAGCACCCCATGACTGGTACAAAGTAGCCAGATCCTTTGGAATGGAGGTCTTAAAGATGTTTAAAATGTCCAAACGCTTCTCATGCCCTTCAGATGGTGGCTCCTGCTTGGTGGAATGTACAGTTGGAGGAGGTCCTGCTGCATTAGGCTGAGGTTGTGTCAGAGGACTTACTGCGGATCCAGCCGTACAATTTGTCAGTGCCCTTGTGTCATTCTCTTTCTTAATATTAGCTTCTTGCTGAGGCACTGGAGGATCTTCTTGAGTAATGTATGGCTCAGTTTTACATGGAGGGTGGTACTGAGGTGCACAGAAAAATTTGGCCTTCCCTGGGTCTGAACTACAATGCTTACTTACAGGGGCAAACCCAGCAGTTACTTGGGGAACTGTATACTTCTCTGCTTGTTTGCTGTTGGATGGCTGTGAGTTGGGTTTAGATACACCTGTTTGGGAAGGCGTTGAACTTCTGCTGAAGCTTCCTGCTTGCATGATCTTGGAGTTAACTTCATATTTTGCTTTCAACTGGTGCTGTTGGGCCACTGTGCTATATTGTTCATGAGTGTGGTTCAGCTTGGGCTGCCTGTACCCATCAATACCTGATGACTGTGGCCCATAATTACTAGTGGACAACGCATCCTTAGGCATACTCCCAGGCTTAACTGTTGCAGCAGGACCAGATGAATTGGTTTTGGATCTTGGCAGTCCGATCGGCACCTGAGTACGTGTAAATCTGGATATAGGCAAAGGTTGACATTCTTTACCACCACAAACAGGAGGAGGTCCAGTGCGCCCATTTCTTGCCAAGCAAACCGAATTCTGTTTTATACTCTTGAATCCGTTTTGAAGAACCCAAGGAGGAGCCACAGAGTTACAACTGACCTTATGCCAAATTCTTTTGTGCATCCATAGGACTTCTGGGTAATAAGTCTTATGACTGCAGTAAGGACATGGGTGGACAATCAAAGCAGCCTGTAAGGTTGAGGTAAGACTCGTATTGTGTGATTCAGCCCTGGTTGACTTCTCGCTTAGATCTAATGGAGCCTGCGCTTCACTACCGAACATCACTACTGAGTGCTCATGCATTTCAAGAGGATTCTCTTTCAAGGACTTGTTCTGAATTTGCATCAGTGGGGTTTGCATATCCAAGCTCACATCTGAACACGTTTGGTTGATACTGGAAACAAAGTCAACCATCCTACTGGAGCAAGGAAACTCACGGGTTTGTTGAAATGCTGACCTCTTTGAATCTGGGGAAATTTTGCACTCTGAATGCTTCTGAAGAGGCTTTTTAATCTTGTTTTCTGGTGTAGATGCTACAGCTGGCATCTCTGGCTTAGTTTCACTGGCATTGTTTCCTGTTGTACTGTTTCTTCCATGATTAAATTGCAGAGCTGCCGCAGGTGTGTTTGCTTCAGAAAAGCTGCAGAGATATGGCTTTTTACCTGTAGGACACACACAAAAACAACATTACTATGAAGGCAGCACAAACAAGAGGTCAATTTTCAAGGTGCAATACAAGGGAGAAGCACTTTTGAATGGAAAATGTTCCAGACTGGTACTCAAAGCACACTGTTGGAGCAATATGTTACCAGAGATTTTCAAGTGCACAGAATCTTCTCCAAGAAACCTCTCCACTGAAAAAAATGGTGAAGCCTCATTTGCACAGAATCTGTCTGAGGCTATCAGGATCCCTAGAATAAGCTGTCAGAAAAGTGCAAAGACATAAGCTGAACTTATTTTGGCCCAACACCCAAATTCAAAATAAAAAAAATATTAGCATACTTTAGTCCCTGCTGCCAGTAACTAAGTCTTAGAAGAGGCACTGGGATGGGAATAAAACTACAAAAGCTAGAAAGCCACCCAATGACTGGTAGCTGAAGTAAAGTGGGGTGAATTCTGGGCCATAGTTTTCTAGGGAAACCCAAGGGCACAGATCTCAGGAGAGCCAGATTTGGTTCCTAGGTCTAGGCAACAGTAGCCTGTCTGATACATTCATATTGTTATAATTTCTGTAACCGCAACAGCCCATTTTGGGACTGTACGATTGTTGAATTTACTACAAAGTGTACCAGTGGGGGTCCAATTCAAACAGCACAGTCTCTACATGTACAGGACAAATTCTCAAGAGAATACAGAAATCAGGCCTAAGTTTGCACCTGCTTTTGTCTTGCTGTTCCCATTGTCACACTGCTCCTCTTATGTAAAAACAAGTCTGTGCATGCAGTCACTACCACAGGAGCCATGCAATGCAGCCAGTTCAACAAGTTGCTCCGGCCTACACTCCATATCCTCTGGCTCAAGCACAGTGTGGCATGGACTGATAGGTTGCCTGCAAGATAGCTATGCGGTATTTCCAAGAATAGAACAGACACAGCATACATAGGCTGACAACTGTACATCCCAATGAGCATGGTTTGAAAAGGGATACAATGAAATAACTACATCAACTAAAAATACAGTTTTATCATTTTACACTGCTATGTATTTTGGAATTGTATTTGCGTAAGCCATCCTGAGGCTCTCGCAAAGGATGGCATACAAATATCTTCAAACAAACAAACAGGTTAATATAGAATCCACAGAATACTCAAGGTAGTAAGTCTTTATCAGGTAAAAATCTGCCAGCTTTCACTTAGTATAGTTATTAGTTATTGATTCAACTGTAGAGGAAGGAATGGAGGAACGAAGCAAAGATTCAGCAATTAAACTTGAAATTGGATTTAAGTAAGTATACAACACAAATTCTGCTCATGTTATTTTGATACAACATAATGAATTTGTAGAAACGGGGGTTTTTTGGGGTGGGGGCAGGCACAAAAATCTTACCTAGAATTCTGTCAACAGATTTACATGTCTGAGCTGCCTGTTAGGCCAGTTCATATCTGTCACTGTACCTGCTATATTAAGAGTTTTAAAACCCTAAATTACCATGCTTTGTCCCATGTAATTTCCCCCTAATATTCCCAAGCACTATATATAATGAGCAGCAGACAGACAAAACGATATAAACAGATCCAGCAGTTAGACTAAAAAATGTTTCATATACTTTTATCAAACACCTGCCTTCAAACTTTCTCATTCTCTCTCACATCCAGTGTATACCACAGGTCTTTGCCCATGTTGAACTTTCATAATATATTTAGTTCACACTTTTTATTGCCAATGTTAACTTTTCAAAATGTATTTAGTTGACTTTTTTCTGAACTGTAACCCTGTTAATGTGTGTCCAGAATGAGGAGTAAATTGTTATCTTCCACCTAAATAAAAGTGCTCAGAACTAATGAGAGTACAGACATTGGCACTCTGAGAGGTCTTTCTACATCTACATTTCCACTCAGCCATAATTCAGAAAGCAAGTGTTTTGTAAAGTCAAACATATCATGGTTGCTTAGTATAACTTTGGTACCACAGGCACTGTTCCAGCCCTGCCAAGTTTGATCTGTTCTAGGGTGAATTTTCAACAAAAACAATGCCTCAGCTTCAATTTAATTTGGCCTCAGTTCTAGTCCAGGCAAAAAGCCTTAAGCCTTTGTTTAATTTTGAGTAATTAGCTTAAAAATAACCCATAGATTTGCTGTCTAACAGGGTTGAATACTCACTCAGTTAAGATCATTTTCTTTTCAAATTCTCAATGGGACAAGGCCCCTTGTATTTAAAGTGTTTTTCTGTTTTACAAGAAGTTAAGACTTCCTGAAAGCTCATGCCCAACACTACCAGTTAAATCTACACTTTGAATCGAAAAGGTTGTGTGGAGCTGTGAAATTTGACACTACACATCTGGGTTCTTTTCAAAGCGCATCTGTCACAGGCACCATTCATTGTTTGAATCATTAGAAGAACTTGAAGTCTTCACTACATTTCATGCTTAGAAAGCTAAACAATATACATAAGTAAGCAATAAAACATTCCAAGTCATCTGCAATAGAGCAGATAGCAAAAACCAGTATGTCTGCATGTACAAAGCAAACAAATTACACAGTGATTTTTTGAAATCAAATAAATAACTAGGACTGAAGGACCAGCAAACTGTTTCTTTCTTGGAACCGATAATCTAGGTGGCCTACAACTGTTCCATTTTAGTCAACTGGATAGGGTACTATCCATCTATTCCTCTGTGCTAATGGCATTATGCTACCATAAGCTAATACTTGTGCAATGTACTAGGGAAAAGTGGTGCTCTGACACCACATTTCTGCACCAAATTGCAACTTTTTCCCATTGCCCCAGCATGTAACACGTGTGTTAGACTAGTATAAGGCCACATTGCCTAACAGCAATGGAGCACAAGTGAATGCTACCTCTACTATGCACTCTATGCGCTAGCATGGAAAAGATAATTTCCTAGTTATTGCAAAAGGCCATTCCTGGCACATGCCATTCCATACCAAGGGCTGAAAGAGAACTTTAAGACCTCTGATTTCTATGGTGATACCTAGAACACATGCTGAGAAAACATGCAGCTGAAAATTAGTGTCATACTTCTATAGTTCAGATGATCGGCTTTAACTCAGGCAACTTATTTCACAAAGATACTGTGTGAGAAATGCCTTGATACTTAGAAAGCTTCAGCCCCTTGTTCCCTAACTCCCACATCTTGTCCTTGATGTCAAGAAGTTGCTGTAGGGGCTGCTGAATATAATTTTTAATGAACTGCTTTAAGTGTGCTCCTGGTATTAATATTAACAGTTCTTTTTTATTGACCAATCAAGAGACCTACTATCAGGAAAGAGTTTGTAACAGCAGCCGGGAGGGAAAATCAGCTAGGAGAATGTGGATATGAAGACCATGTACAGAAAGCTCAAGTTTAGGAAGTGCAGACATTTTGTCCTGTGAGAAGCTTAATTCCAGGGAGATGTGAAGGACACTTTCCTACCTTTAATTCTTACAGCATCTTCAATGAATCTCAAGTACCAAGATGTGCAGTATGACATCCAGATGCTTACCTAATGAGCCTTAGAGTTTCAAAGTACCAATGTAGTCCTGATGTTGTTGACTACAAATTCCAGTGTTCCTGACCACTGCTGGCTGGAGAGGACAGGTTAAATCCCAAAATATCTTGATGGAATCAAGTTGGAGAAGCTGGGCTAAGATACTGTTTCTGTATGGGGGCCTGTTTTGAAACCTGGAGCTGGTAATCCCACAGTCTTTCTGAATCAGCTGTTAAAAATGTGACTTAATTACCTATGTTGTATTAAGCTGAGAAAGAGCATTAGGCCTATATGTTCCCCTTAGACCTTAGTTCTCATGTCCTAGTTAGCAAGCGGACATTCAATGGGTTTCTCAGTTTGGGAATAATGGTAAACTCAGATTTTAAAAGTTCAGGGTGGAAGCACAACATTGATATGAAGGGATGCTGGAGTATGCAGGTTATTATACTAGCTTATTTCTGTAATAAGCCAGATTCATTATGTCTAAACTGGTCTGTACATACTTCATAAGATATAGGGATATAACTAGGATATAGTTTTATTTGCTATTTACCCATCTGGTAAGTCTCCCATTCTCTTTCCCGAGCATGGCCCCATTCCTGTGTCTCACAGTCCTACTGCAACAGTAGTACCCACAGTTATCCAACTTGCCTTATGTTTATTGACAGAAAAGCAAACGGTATATCCTAAAATAACATGCATTATGAACAGCAGGTAACTATTTCCCCCACTGCAGCTACAATGTCTAATGCTACCCATTTCAGTATTTTAGAAAGTGGCATGGAATAGTCAAAGCATGTTCCAAACTACAGTGCTAGAACTTCCAGGTTGTCACCAATGCCAGGGTGAAAACGGTCACTCCAACTAATGCACTGTCAGGATAGGACATCACAGAGCCTTCTCTGGCTTGCTGCATTTGTAGGCTACAGCATACTAACTACTGTTCCATTGTGCAGTACTTTGAAATGCTGCAGAGATGCTAGGGCCATATAAAAGTTTAGGAGCAGCACTTTGGGAAACCCCTCAGACCAAGTCAGTATGAAATGATGGTTAGAGTGCTGAACTGAGGACTCAGGAGATCCAGGTTCTAGTCTCCACTCAACCATGAGACTAACTGGATAACTTTGGGCCAGTTACTCATCCTTAGGCTAACCCACCTCACAGGGTTGATGTTGTGAAGATAAAATGGAGTGGAGGAAGCAATATAAACCAGCTTGTGTTCCTCCAATGAGGAAAGAAGGCAGGATATAACTGTAATAATAATAATAATAGTGAATTTCTTCATATTTTTCACAGAACTGTTCAATAATCAATAATCAGGGGTATCCTACAAATTGCTAAATTAACTGAACAGGTCAGGGTGTACTCTTTTACTGTGCCAAATATTTATGAAAGTGTTACAGAGTCATCCTTATCACAGCATAATTGCAAAGGTTTCTTATCATGTGAGAACAGTACCTGTTTGTAAAAACAAACCTGATAGATACAATCAGTTGAGGGTGATCATTTTTCCC